CAGCGTTCAAGCGTTATTGGAGGAACGCGACCTTGCCACTGGAGTGTAACATTGGAACACTGGTGCTTGCCCCTAGAAGCAACGGTTATTCACTTGGAAAGTCGGTGGACCAATTGATTTTTGCGCATCATCCTACTTCCCCGCTGCCAATCTCTGAAGCCCCCGTGATACCGCTCCATGCGATGGTCTGGTAACAGTAGACCACTCAACCAATTATTAAACTTCTTGTTCAGTTACAATGTTCCTTGTCAGAACGTGCTCAGAGAGTAAAATGAAGTAAGTGACGAGAACGCCTAGGACTAATCAATCAATCGAATATTACGTCAGTGACATTCGAAATAACGTTGGCGACATTTGAATTGATTATCTACTTGGTCTTTTTTGACCAAGTGTTTTTCACCGGGTTCAAAAGAACCAAACAACGGCTTGGCACGTGGCTCAACGGTTAGAGCGACGGCATCGAAGCGATAGAGGAAGGGGCCCGGGGTTCGATCCCTGGCTGGGCAGTGCTAAGTATTTTTCAGTATTCAATTTTTATCACAGAAATACGCGAGTACGCTCCACGAAGTAGGCCAGCGCTCGATCCCTTCACCGCGGTCAGGTAGGTCCATCTCGTCAGCGGTCTTGCAAAGCATGGCAGTGTGTGTGTCCTTTCTTGACAAGAATATCGTAATGTCTGACACAGAACCAGGTACATGCTTGGACAAGTCGACAGCCACACCAGAATACGCCACAGAGCATTCAAGCTTCAAGCCATAAAGCTTGTGCTTGCCGGAGTAATAGTGTTTGGCTTCATCAAATCGTCCATGGGGCGGTAAGAGGGCTGGAACTTGACGGTACAGTACAGCGCTGATGGGAAGTTGGAAAAGGTGCGGTCGCGTTCAATCTGTTGCGTCATGGTAACTGGTTGGACGTAGTGGCCGTACAAGACGGGCTCAACGAGGTCAATCATGCGATGAATCATCTTCTCGAATGTAGGCGCTTTCATCCTGAAGTCGAGAGCATGCTTATCCCAAGGATTGTAGTGTTTGAGCACCACCAATGTCATGTAGAAGGCATCTTTAGTAGACGTGGGCGACTTTCGACCGCGACCCAGCGTCCAAGATGGAACTACTGTTGATTCAACGATTGCCCAGATCGATTCGAACTCCGCAAGCGTCAAGTTCATCATCGTTGTTAACGAGGCATTTCCGCCTTGCGCAAAGAAGCTGTCCAAGATCGGAGTTGGAGAATCGTTGGCGTCCTCAACCTGTTGAGCATGGTCGTGGTAAAGTTGACTCATCTCATCGAGGTTGAGGTGCTCATTGTCGAGTTCTTGTTGAAGGCGGATGACGACGGAGTTTGGGTCCATTTCTCGCGTTGGGGAAGATTGAAATTTGACGTTAGGACTCTGAAATGGCTGTTGGGAGTGTAGAAGCATCACACAAAATTCAGTTGCGTAGAATCGTGTCAATGAAGTGGTAAAATCCACAAAATTGAACCAATTGTATTTCACAACGGTAATTGTTCCGCGACCATGTCACTCATCAGTTGTTCAAACTTTACTGAAGTCTATAAGTTAATACCCAATGACAATTTTTTATACCATTGACTGAATTGAATAGAATATAAAGACACGTCTTTACTATAAACCTGTGTAACAGACAATGAAGTGGGAAAATGAACAAGAGGTCTATTGGGTCACTGACACGATGCATTGTAAATTCGGAATTCACGAAGTGACTTCGAAAACTATTTTGTACAAAAATGTGTGGTGAGCTATTTCGTAATTGACTCAGTCATTTCCAATAGTGTCAAGTGGTTTCAATGGGTGTGGTGGTTTCGTGAAGAATTCAGTTATGTTTGTAGAACTTTGTCAACAAATATTGATCACACATTTTTTATTAAAAAATACCACTATCCTCACCACTTGGATAAAATTCAGTGTCCAGTCGAAGTACGCCTTTTCACGAGCAAGTTGGTGGTTTTCTTCAACCAAAGTGGATTGGATTAACAGTGGTCGAACGCATCGACCGACCTTCCGGATAATTCATCAAATTTCAGAGATCACAACCTCTTTGGTGCTTTTGCAGAAAATATTATTCATTTTGAAAATTATTTACTGTTAGAGGAATTACTCATCACCTTCGTAGTCACCTAAGGTGCATTCGTCGCAGCTGTCACCATCACTTTCGATTTCGCTGTCTGAGGAGAA